TCCATTATGTTTCCATTTACTTATCTTTCCGTACTGAAGGATGGTCTCCAGGGATCCCTAGACCAAGCCCCGGAACATGTACCCGTACCCGCACCCGCACCCATTCCCAGCTGCTGCTGCTGCTCCACCTTCAGCTCCAGTTCCAGCTGCTAATGAGCTACGATGTCCTGGCCACTCGATGTCCTTTGGCCCAAAGTATTTATGGTTTTTTACAACACTCCTCCTGGCGGAGTGTGTTGGCAGCTGGTGGGGGACAGCGGGACAGCGGGACAGCAGGACAGCAGTGAATGCGGGTGCTAATAGGATTTGTGCTCTGTTTATGTGGATGCTAATTAGAGGGCAAAACACACACACACACACACACACACATTTTTGCTGCCTTCTGGTTAATTGATGAAATGAAATGAATAGCGCCAAGGGCCACAAACAACTTTCCACCCGGCGACCGGCGACCGGCCACCAACGACCGACGACCGACGACCGACGACCGACGGTTTGGAAGCCATAAAAACAGGGCAAACTTATCGGACGGGCGACACGCCTCGCTCGACCCAGTGCGGCCAGTTCTCTGCCGCTCTCTGGAGTCCGAGGCCGAGTCCGAGCCCGAGTACGTAGTCCGGAGTACAGAGTCCGGAGTGCGGAGTGCGGACACTCTGTCAAATGCAAATGCAAATGAGCCTAAAAGTAGACAACGATGATAAATATCGCTTTAAATGACAGAAGGACGCAGGACGATGACGACGAGCGGGGAGTGCTGGGTGGGCCGTGGAAGTTAATTGCCACGACATAAAAGAAACTTTCCGAAACAGTAAATAGATTGGAACTGGTGGAGGGGGGGTGGGAGGGGGGATTGCGAAAGTTTTCCATACATTGGACTGAACAGGGACCGGGGACCGGGGACCGGAGAGCGGCTCTCTGCCGATCCCAGGTGCTGCGGCTTCCAGCCAGTCTGTCGGACTCTCCTCGTGGTTAGGGTATGCCGCCAGTGAACATGTCCCCTCATTAGCGAAAGAAGAGATCCCTCGGCTGCCACCCACAGTCCCCCTTCCACAGTCCATCCACTTGACAGCAGTCACCTGATGCCCCCCGGCGGCCGTGGAGGGAGACCAGCGATGAGAGACCAAAGACCAGAGACCAATTCGAGTATGACTTGCAGGCACACTCTCTCCTCGCTCTCCTCGCTCTCCTCGCTCTCTCCCCGCTGTATCTGTGTGCCTCCTTTGGGCTGTTGCTCCTTGGTAATTGCTCGCCTAATTGGATGCATCAACATCGATGTTGTCATCTTGGCCAGCGCCTGGCTCCGGCTCTGGCTCTGGCTCTGTCTCTGGCTACGACTCCTCTCTCCTCTGTGTGTCCTGTGTCCAGTGTCCTGTTTCCAGGCAATGCGAAAAATGTCCGCAAGAATTATCAGCAATGCTTCAGCAATTGGCACTGCCATTCGATGGCTGTGGCAGTGGCAGCTGGCCCCATAGCTCTCTTCGACTGCGGTCAGCAATGGGAACCGACTGCGGTTTCATCTCTCTCCAGCTCTTGTGGGCTTTCCAGCTGGCTTTGCCCCTGCCACCGTCCTTGGGAGGAAAGTCCTTTTTGGTCAATTATGAAAGGCAATTAACGCGCCACGATTTGCCTGCCATGCAGCCGGGCAGCCATGCAGCCGGAAGAGGCTTGCCGCAGCACACACAGGTAAGAATGCGAGGCATGCGGTTAATTGGAGAACCTGTTGCTACCGCAATTTCTCATTTCTCACTTCTTACTTCTCAGTTCTCAGTTCTCGGCTCTCAGTTCTCAGTTATCAGCTATCAGCGGGAGACAAGTGCGAGAAAGCCTTTGGCCAATGTCTGGAATTTGATTTGCTTGCAGCAGCAGCAGCAGCAGCAGCAATGACTTGAGGTTCGATTCAGTTGGAATTTCCCAGGGAATTTGATAGGGGAAAATGAGCTTCAAGTGGTTTCAAATTGTCAGCCACACCAACACCAAAAGCAACACCAAAAGCAACACCAACAGCAAACAGCAAACAGTCCCTGAGGCTTGACAGCCATCAAATGAAGAGCACTTGTGCGGCTTAGGGCCCCCCAAACTGAACCAACTGAAGGTTGCATGGATGCCGAGTGCCGAGTGCAGAGTGCCGAGTGGAAGGGGTGCAAAGGTGCAGAGGTGGATATTCAATCATGTGGTTCCATTCAGATGGAATTTGAGGTGGAATTTGCGTGTGACATTAGTTCCCAAACAGCCCAAAGTCGCCCCAAAATAACCTCCATCGGAACTCTATCCTGTGTTTAACTCCATTCCATTGAGCTATCTATAGATGCCCACCGAGAGGGAGAGAGAGGCGGAACTCAACAGAAGTTTCGTTGAAGTAAAGTGCCAAGAGGTTGCCTGCAACTCGCATTCAATGTGGCAGCCTTCCCAGGAACATGAATCCTGGATGCAGTCCGCAGACATTTAAATACAAGACACAATTCAATAAATGTGCCACTGGCTGCAGGCTTTGGCTTGAGGGCAGAGGCAGAGGCAGAGGCAGAGTCAGGCTGTCTTCAGGCCGTCTTCACTTTAAAAGCAGCAAAAAGAGGAGTCCAAAGAAGGTTTCCATAGCGAAGAATGGCCCACAAATATGTTTCCCTTCGCGTCTCCATCCCCTCTAGTGCCCCTCTTGGTGGCAGGCCTTGTCCTTGTCCCCCCCCCCCCGCTCATGTTCTTCCAGCAAAAGAAAATAAAAAAGTAGAAAGGGAAACGCCATCCAATTATCGAAACAACTACGCCTATAAATTGTCCGTGTTAAAAAAGTACACCAACGAAATTTATGATAATTGTAAAATATGTTTTCTAGCTCAAGTGGGGAGCTCCTGCACCCGCCACTGCCCCCACCACTTGCCCTTGCGAGGCCTCCAGCCAGCCAACAAATTGTTGCCTGCCAGGTGGAAAAATCTCCTCTTTTGCTTGTTCTTTCTTCTGCAGCAGATGCTTCTGGCAATCACAGAGGGTGTTGGTGAGGGGGGGTTGAAGAGAGAGTTGTGTTTGGTGTATGGGGTTGGGGGTTGGGGGTTGGGTGGGCAGTGTCGCTGTTGCATTGATTTTTCGCTGCTTCTTCGCCGCTGCTGCCGCTGCTGCTGCCGCTGCTGCTGCTGCTGCTCCCAAGCAAATGTCATTGACCACACGGCGAACAACAAAGGGGCGTTGCAAAGAGCAAGAGCGTTGTCCGGAAAGGGGCTGGTGGTGGGTGGTGGGTGGTGGGGGTGGGGGGTGGACGCCACTACTCGCCACAGTCAACAACCACCAAAAGTAATCATCGCAAACGTTGCTTTTGGGGGGCGGGGCGGCCATGGGCATGCGGATGGGCATGCGGAGCAGACCGATGACGATGACGAGGACGAGCAAGGGAGGAGGAGGAGGCAAAGCCGAGTACTGCTGTAAGGACAACCCGCTGTGTAAGCTGTGAGCTGTGAGCGTCAAGGAAAACTAAATATGACGGCCTTTGCTCCTCCAGCGCCATCCCCTCTCCGCTCTCCGCTCTCCACTCCCCAAGCCCAAGCAGGAGCCAGAGGCAGAGCCAGCGTTCAGCGTTCAGCGTCCAGAGTGCTGCTGTCCATCCTGCAGCCCTGCAAGGAGCAATGCGATTAACGTTTCAATATGCGACAGTTGCAGCGCAGCGCAGCGCAGCTCGGCAATGGCATGGCCATCGTCTGACTTTTGTTGGGTGCACCACCATCACCCACCCACCACCCGCCAGGGGAGGTAGGCAGGGTGGTGCTGGGGGGTGTTAATTTACCATACATGTGGCATGGTCTCGTCTCGTCTCGTCTCGTTTTGTGGACCGCCTGTGGTCCAGCGCCGCTTGGCGGTTGCATTCATAGAAAATTACGCGCTAAGCTGCAGCAGCGATTCCGAATGGAATCGAGAATGGGATTGGGACTGGGATTGGGGACTGGGACTGGGGATTGGTAATGGAATTGGGGAAGCGATTTGGATTCGGATTGGGCACGGGGATGGGGATTGGCTTAGCAAAATGGAATTCGGCTGCAGGGGTTGGGGAGGGGTGGAGGGGCAGGGCACTCTCCCGCTGTTGCTTCTGTGGCTCCTTGAACTCAGACTCCGTTTGAACCCAGACTCCCTCCCGCTGGCTGGCTGGCAGGAGCTGGAGCTGGAGCTGGAGCTGGACACCGAAAAGGTCATTATAACTTTGGCATAGAATTCGCAAAGAACTTTCTCAGATGTAGCGCCCACAATGGGAGGAGCGGAGCTGCTCTCCTGTGGGAAGTGCTCTGAATCCAGCAGATGGTAGCTCGTAGGAGAGTCTCCACTGTACTCCGGCCACTGCTGGATGGGACTCCAAGCAAACGTAAGCCACTCATCCGCCCACCCACAATCCTACTCCCTCCCCTCCCCACCCTGCCTGCCCCACTCCCAGGTAAAAGCAAACGAAACGGAAACAAAGGCAGATGGGAAATAGTTTAGGACACGACACGACACGACACGGCACGGCACGGCTTACGTTACGTAATCAGCTGAAAGCGGAATAAGAAAATTGCACCTGACGGACGAGGGGGAATTTCCTTGATTGCCATGCATAACAACCGGAACGAGGAAGGAGAACACACAGAGAAAGAGAGATAAAGAGAGAGAGAGAGAGAGAGATATAGTGGGAAGGAAATGTTGCAGAGATTTGCAGAAGTGAGAGAAGTAAATCCCCCGGGGGATGGTTAGATTACGTTATGACAATGGTTTGATTACGTTACGTATTTGTATTTGTATCTGTATTTGTATCTGCATCTGGATGCATCTGTAACTAGACTCAAAGACTCAACGACGATCTCCTGTCCATGGTTACAGCAAGCTAATCCCAAGACTCCCCCCACCCGCCCACAGTTCGTCCCCTCAAACAGATCCAGATCCTTCATCTGCCAGATTTTGTTGTCGTTCATCATTTGTGTGAGATTCATTGAGACGAGTAGGCAAACGTTTTCAGCTCGAACATATACTCGCTGAGCAGGCTCATTCCCCAGTTCAATCGAATGTCGCGTACAGTTCACACCAGAGAGTAAATATCCGAGTAAAAATTCCACATTTTCCAAGCTAAATTTGTTCAAATATTTCCTGAAATTCCATAAATTAAATATACTTCCTTGTCTTGTCTCGTCTCGTCTCATTCGGTGGGCTGTCTTCCCAGCACAGTGTACGTTTCAGTAGGGAAATCATATTTTAAATCACTTGCGAGCTTAAACGACTCTTTTGGCTTTCAGTCGAATGAGTTGGGCGGACAAAAAACCTGTGCATAATCCGCAGGAGGAGCCCAAAAAGATAGCAATTGTTGCACCCACCACGGAGATGCAGGCCAAGCAGGACAATGAACCAGAGGAAGTGGGCACGGCCACACAGCTCAAGAGTGGGAGTGAGCCAAATGAAGTCAAGCAGGTCCAGAAGGACAATGACGATGATCAAGAGGATGAATATCTGCAGGCCAAGACGGACACAGCCAATCCACAGCTTGAAATCAAAAGTTCAATGCCAGAGGGAGACAGTGATCAACAGGCCACGGATGGGCAGGGCAAGACAGGAACAGATGGAACAGATGTCGATACACAACCGCCAGAAGAGGCATCAGAGGATGTTAAATATGTTTTCTCGGTTGAAAAGATGAAGCAGAGTCTTTTGGAGTCCATAGTGCAAGAGGCCATGGAGGTGCAGGCTATGGAAATGGAGGCCCTGCTGCTGGGGAACAAGACGGCAGCAGGACCACCCATCAAGAGTGCCGAGGATCGCCTAGCCAAGAAGTGCCAGGACAGGGAGGACAGGGAGGCCAAGAAGGCCGCCTATGAGTATTGGCTGGCTCTCAAGCCCATGAAGAAGGTCATCTCCACTCTGATCAAGTCGCGCCAAGCCCCCAAGCTCAAGTGGTTCGATGTACACCTGGTGACTGCAGGCAATTTCAAAAACCTCAAATATAAGGGCGCCGCCCACACTATCGACGAGAAGGACAAGGATCCAAAGAGCTCTAGTGCTACCAAACCCGTCTAAATCACTAGCATTTATTCCCAATTTGTTCCGTGTTAAATAAATGTAATTCATGTTAAATGCGCCTCTTGGGGTAGCCCAAAAGAATAGCACAGACTAGCCGGTATCGTAAAATAGTTTGCAGGATCAATCAGCGCCTTCTTTCTGCTAGAAGCTGATATATGGATCACCATATCAGAGAGAGAGAGGGAGAGAAATGCCTTGTGAAACGAATACGAGAATCCTCTCCACGATTCTTCACTCACTTATGAAGGGGCTCACTGTACTTTGCAGGAAGGTGAGTAATGTGGTGGTCGTTGGGGAAGGAGTAGGAGTGCTCCCACGATGAATACAGTTGAAAAGTACGAAAGAAGATACTTCCCATAGAAGATACTTTCCATGGAAGATACTTCCGTTGGAAGATACTTCTGACTGAATATACTTTTGTCAGATACCTTTAGGCTGTTCGGAAAACCAGAATATATCAGATACTAATGTATCTGACAGATACAAATGTATCTTTTGGGTTTGTATCTGTAAGATACTGTATAAACATACTTCTATCTTTATCCTTGTATCTGACAGATACAAATGTATCTTTTGGGTATGTATCTGTAAGATACTGTGTAAACATACTTCTATCTTTATCCTTGTATCTGACAGATACAAATGTATCTTTTGGGTATGTATCTGTAAGATACTGTATAAATATACTTCTATCTTTATCCTTGTATCTGACAGATACAAATGTATCTTTTGGGTATGTATCTGTAAGATACTGTATAAGCATACTTCTATCTTTATCCTTGTATCTGACAGATACAAATGTATCTTTTGGGTATGTATCTGTAAGATACTGTATAAACATACTTCTATCTATATTTCCATTTATGAATGGACTGGAACGGACATGATTCCGCTTCGAATTCACCGGAAATAATTAATTTTTAATTGTGTTGTATTTTTGTAGCCGAAAAAATCACTCACCCACAATAGCCGCACAAAAGAATCCAATATGTATACCCACAGAGTGCTCTAAGAATAAACTGTGCATATCCAGCTAAATGTTTAAGTTTTAAGTTTTACGGATAATCATCGGTGATAATTAATTATCCGTAATAATTACTATTATTCATTTTCCCTAATGATTATTTTTATGAGCCAAGGCGAATAATATACACTATGCACAGGCACATTTGCATATGTACATCATATCCATATGTATATGTAAATTTATGATTGCTGTGAGGCTAGCGCCTGAAAACTCACGAACCATTCACGTGTCATACATCTGTACATACATATATGTACAATGTACATACATTATTTTTATATGGATACCAAAGTAGAAAATTCAAAATTTGTTTCTATGAACAGATTGAAGAAGTATTGTTCATTATTCATTAATATAAAATTGATTTCTTCTGTTTAACTGAACCGTGCGCCAAGTTAAACGTAAAAGCTGCTCTCACTGGAGTGCTAAGGGTGTACGAATAGATGTACGATTTACTGTATGCACATATGTATGTAAGGTATTACGTAGGTATAGTTTCATCGATATTAAATCGCGGTGCACAGGTAGGTGGAAGGGCACAGGTAGGTAATGGTAAGAATAATTTGGCTTTCTGTAGCTGCTTGATATCCGGCTGATTTCTGCTGCTGCTGTTCCACGCTACGTCCGGCTGCTGCGATTATCTTCTTGCTACTCTCCTTCTGCTGATCTTCCTCTCTGCTGTGTTCTTCCTCTGCCTTAGCTGCTTATCTGCATATCTGCTGTTGCTTCTCGTTCTGCTGTTCATCTGCTGTCCATCTGCTGTTAGCCAATGCTCCTTCCGTGGGCCTTCCGTGCTCACTCCCTGTTACATGTGAGGTCACATATGTGGCTTCTGATATAATAATATCTGGATAGATGTATAAATTACTTTAATGTTTCGTACCCCTCCCCCTTTGGCAGTACCAGCTGCGCCCCTGCCAGTTAATTTGTATTCCCCTCTCGGTGAACCCTTTCGTTGAGTGAATTTCGGACACACAACTCCCCTCGTATCTCCCATTTCGCATATCGCAGCACTCTCGATGGTCGGATGGTCGGATGGCTGTATGGCTGGATGGTTGGGTGCTCGGCACACGGCGTGTTACCTGTCAATTTACATCACACGTTACGTGATGAATTACGTCGTTAGATGTGTCTGTGTATTGGTGTGTGTGTGTGTGTGTGTGTGTGCCAGGTGCACTGTGTGTTTGTGTGTCTGTGTGTGTGTGCCAACTGAGTTTTTCAATTAGCTCATTTCTAATAATTCAATATTCAGCATGTTGGACGAGTGGCAGAGTGCGGCAGAGCCATGGGGCAAGCCCCCCAAAAAAAAAAATAATAAAAAAAAAGAGAAATAAGCAGCCTCGCCGCCAGCCATTGTAGTCATAGTTCAATGCGGTTGGCTCTTCCAACAAAAGCCTGGACAAACTTTCCCCCGGGGCATGCAGCGACAGGTCTGCCACACGCCATGCACCCATACATGTTGCATGCATTACAGCAGAGCGGAGGAGGCGGAGCAGGCGGAGCAGGCGGAGAGCGGAGACGACCCTCGTGGGGGCCAATTCACCTGACTAATTAATAACTAATAATGTGCAGTGCGCTTATTAGAGGAGCTTGCATACATTAGTCGGGGACTAATATCATTATACGACAGCTCTCGGCTCTCCGTTGCCAGTCGCCAGTTGCCAGTTGCCAGTTCTACTCTGTTCAGTTCAGTTCTGACAGGAGAGAGCCAGCAGGGCCCTCATCTGCTGCTCCTCCTGCTCCTGCCGCTGCTGCCGCTGCTGCTGCTGTCTGCCATCCTGTCTGACTTTCTGGCATTGTCACGTACACACTGCCAGGCAGAACACCCACCGACACACACACACACACACACACACACACACACAGATGCAAAGCTGCACACAGATGCACAGATACACAAAGAAATGCAATTATGACAATCAAAGTGGACAAATGCAGTTTGGGCCTACAACCCACTGACAGTGCCAGTGCCCCTGCCACTGGCCCTGCCCCTGCCCCTGCCCCTGCCATTCCCCATTCCATTCCCCATTCCATTTCCATTTCCATTCCATCAAAAGGTGGCCTGACAAATGACAGCTGCATTGGCCACTCAAAGTCCGAGTCGAGTCGAGTCGAGTCGAGTCCGTTCCCCGGGGCATGCATTGATTGAGGGAATCAAGTGGGAATACAACACTCCTTCCGGCCCTCTTCCACTCCCCCCACATGTGCCACCCAAAAAATACACAAAAGAGACTGCCCCACAGTCTGCCTCTATGTCTGGCAGAGGGAGGGAGGAAGAGTGGCTCCATGTCGACCTTTTGCCGGGCTTCCCTCCAATTTGCAACTAATTTCGAGTCATTAAAAAGCAACTAACAAAAGCGAGAAAAGGTCGGGACCTGCCCCACACGCCACTCCATCCTCCATCTCCCTCTCTCGCCCTCTCTCTCGCCCTCTCTCTCTCTCGCTCTCTCTCGCTGGCCAAAAAGGCATTTTAATCTAGCAATTAAGGCATAATGTGCTTTAATTAACCGCCAAAATCTAAAAAGCTCGCATAAATAACCAATTGACAGGCCACGGGCCACGGGCCAGAGTCCCGAGTCCAGAGTCCAGAGTCCGGCTTTTGGGTACTGCAACAGGAGAGGGCTGGGCTGGGGGCTGGTGGCGGGGGGGCAGCGTGGGTCTGTGCGAGCCCATAAATTGAATTACGTTAAGCCCCACGTCCCACGTCCCAGCCCTTCTTTGCTTGCCGCCTCCTTCCTCGCTGCCTCCCTGCCATCCATGGCAGCATAATGGTCAAAATAACACGCAGTTTCCGGAGCCGCAGCCGCAGCCCCCCACAGGCCCCACCCAGCAAAACGCTGTGGCAGCCAAGGCCGGACGAATCGATGCTGTCGCCGCACCTTGGCAGGGCCCACGTCTCCACCCCCCACCCCACCCCACATCCGCCACGATTGTGTTAATTTTCAGGGAAATCACTTAATCCTTTAAATATCGTTTCGTGCTCTGTGACACCTTAACCCACATTGCTGCACAGCTCCTGTGTGCTCCTGTGTGCTCCTTGGGCTCCTTGGGCTCCGAGTGAGAGTTCGCCAACTGAAATGACGCGCAAATTTACATTGCCGCACCCCCTCAATCCCACCCCCCAACCACCACTCAATCCTCTCTCAATATACTCCACTTTCCACTCTCCCGCTCTCTGCTGGTGCTGTGGGGGCTGTGGGGGCTGGATGGGGGGTGGCGCCACAAAGTCATCGCATTAGTGACGCTCTGAAGATTATTTACCTAGGAATGCGTGTAAAATGACACCAATGTGCTGCGACAGAAGCGGTGCGGTGCGGTGCAGCCGCGCCACACCGCACCCTGTGACTGTGACTCTGACTGCCGCCTGACTCTGGGCTATTGAATCCTTCAGCCAGCTCCCATTCCCCTACCGACCCGGGCAGCACGGAGGGTGGGGAGTGCCAGTCCCCCAGTCAATTTGCCACACACAGAGCGCGCCCCCTGCCCCCTGCCCCATGCCGCACGCTCTCCTTATCCATCCCACCAAGCGTGTTACTCTATTAAATTTAAATTAAAAATTGATTAAAATGAGCGCCCTGCCAGCGCCCTGCCAGCACCCTGCCAGCACCCTGCCAGCGCCGAGCTGCTCCTTCCCTTCCCTTCCTGCCTGCCTGCCACTCCTTGTGTGCTCTCCTCTTTCCTCCCCCACGCCGGTTTGGGGGTCGCCAAGGCCCTCCCTCCAGCCGAGGAGGAGCTAAGACAAGGCAAGGCCCAGGTCCAGGTCCAGGCACTTCCCACGCAGCTGGAGGAGGATACACACAATTAACGTAAGCTTTTTCCCCTTAAATTGTGTGGCCAACGGGGGGCTGGGGGCTGCGGGCTCCGAAGGAGAAGGGGCGAACAGAGGTCAGCGGGCACTCCGGACCGCACGGAATGCGTTGCGGGTAAGCGCGTTCCGTCGTTGATGTTCCGTGGAGAAAGTTCAGCCGGAGAGGAGGGGGGCTAGAGCCAAGCAGAAATAAGGTTAAGAAGGGAGAAAAGATGGTGG